TTTCTGCAGAGAACGGATGAGAAGGAAAATGACAGCAGGCTTGCTTTGACTCAGAGGAAATAGAAAAACCAGAATGAGTCACAGAGTAAAGAGGGAAAAAAAAAAAAAGCTCCGCGGGTCAGTGGAAAGAGTTTGGAGAGTTAGTTTCACTCGTCTGTGCAGGTCGAAAGCTCAATCAGGAGTGAAGTGAACACACAGCAGACTGAAACAGAAAGTTGGATATGCGGCGATTCGCTGATGCCAGAGCAGCAGTTAGAGGCCATAAATGGAGAGATCCTGGATCAGAGCAGCGTCCTGTTGGCTCAGAGCTGGAACAGAAACGTCAGGAAGATGAAGCACTTCTGATAAGCTCAAACTGCGGAGCTCTCAGTGTTTGCTTTAATCACAGCTACTCATTTAATATAATAAAAGTGTCTGCGGCTCCAGCGTTGACTCTCTGTTGGAGGTTTCATGTTCCTTGCAGTGAATTAGCCTGTTTTCGTGTGCATCGGGATCATGGAAACAAAAAACTGACACTGATATTTTGTTTTCCTGCAATATGAAAAAAAAAAAAATAGCAGGAATTTTTTTCAGCAGATGACTCGAATAACTCTGTTTGGAAAGAATGAATCATTCCAGAGCGATTGGAGGGATTTTTATAGGAGAGTGCATCTGCAGAGAAAATAAAACATCACATTAAAAAAAAGAGGCAGATAATAGTCGTTTGGAACCTTTTTTTTTAATGTAAACATTCTGAGCAGTTTTCTATCTTATCATCCAGAACTCTGTGCTGCTGATTTAAATGATCCAACTAACAGCAGCTGCAGACAGAGAACCTGTTTTATCAATATTTCATACAGCTGATTGATTTCTGCAGCCAAATCTTCCTTTTCAAAGTTTCTCTCCTGAGGGCCGTACTATGAAGAAAGTTTGACATATCCAGGCTTTCTTTGTGTAAGTCAGCTCAACAAAAACTAAACCCCAGCCAGAGATATCAGGTATCAGAAGGTGTTTATCGACTTTCTTCGTCAACTCAGACTTTCTGCTTCAGACTCTGTTCACATAAAAGGAGGCGTTTAACGCGTCACGTGACTCTTCTTCTGCTCAAAATGAAATGATCGTGTGCAGCTGCTTCAGTCAACACGTTGTTGTAATGGAGAACGATGAGGAATATAAACATTTATGACAGTAAAAAGCGCCGCTACTGCAAATGATGAAGACAGGAATGGAAAACTGTTAAACATGTTAATATATAATATTTTACTGATGCAGCCGATTATTTCCAACTGACAGCTTAAAGCTAAACTTTAAACTTCATATATTTAAACCTGATCTTGTATGGAAGTACATTTAGGTCTGTCACTGTCCCATAATGTAGGAAATCACTTTAATCAAAGTGAATTCATGTCATTGATTTAATGTTCTCTGTAATAACTACCAGCAGAACAATCCATGTTCTAATCTGTGTTCTATCAGCTGCAGTAGCAGCAGAGTAAACGGACCAAACATAAAAACATATTTATGTGATTCCTGCATCACCAACTAAATACACGTCTGGTTCCCGTGGCAACGTGATATTTACAGCGTGTGATATTGTAACTACACGGCTTCATTCAGTGATATTAGTAACGCACAGCTCAGTATGTTAGCGGATAAAACACATTCCCTCAGCTGAGAATCTGGATCACTCAGAAATAATCATCATGAAACCATCTGGTTAAAGGGAGACGCTCTTTCAGCCGATTTAAATCTAAACTCTGAACACAACCTGCTCCCGACCAGGTTAGCTCCACAGCAACAGTTACCATGGAGACCTAGCTCCACAGCATCAGTTACCATGGAGACCTAGCTCCACAGCATCAGTTACCATGGAGACCTAGCTCCACAGCATCAGTTACCATGGAGATCTNAGTATACAGTGATTAAAAATGAGAGCGGAGCCAAGAAGCAGCTGCTGGAGGTTCAGAGGTGTTAAATCAGCTGACCTGCTTTGTCAGATTAAGGATGATGTCATTGTTTCGTGACGGCTGTTTAACCAATCACATCCCTGCTTTCTGTCAGACTTCCCGCCCCCCCCTCCTCCTCCACTGGATGACGATGACTTGCCAGCCCCTCCCCCTGAATGCCAAACCACACCCACCGCCTCCGATGCTCCGCCCCCCACCTTCCCGGCCCCGCCTCCGGTGGCCGATGACCTGCCCCTCCCCGCCCCCCCTGAGGAGAGCCCCTGCCCACCCACCTGTCCCTCCCCTCCGCCTCCGCCTCCCCCACCGCCTCCCCCCAGTGCTCCCAGTGCTCCCAGTGCTGCTGGGAACCCACAGGTGAGTCCTTCAGCTGCATGTTGACGTGTTTGTGTGTCCACCGTGAGTGTTGGCAGGACGTGCTGCGTTCAGAGATTCTCCCACAAATGAAATCATGATTAGTCCCAGCGTCATGCCGCTAACAGGATTATGGTCGTTTTGTGTCGCTGGTTTAATAGTTTGTAGACGCTGAAAGCATTCTTGTGGTTGATGTTTATTGTGGGGCTGCATTAGTTCCAGCTGGTTCATCAGGACACAAAAGCATCCGTTAATGGATTTAAGTCGTTTTTCAGGGTTAAAAGTAGAAAACAGAGAATCATGAAAAAAGAGACTCATGTTTAAATGAACACAGACTGTTTATTCCATCTTAAATCATCTTCTCGACCATCTCTGATTCCCTTCAAACTTCTTTTTTCTTTTTGTTTTAATCATAAACTGAAAATATAAACTGGTATCCATGAAATTTTTATTGTTATTTATTTACCTATTTCAGTCAGAAACATCACACACGCTAAAGTACAAGAACAATTATATCCGCTTTAACCAATTTGACATTTTTAGGTAAATAAAACCAGTGAACATAAAATAAACTTCAAGAATGTCCTTCGTAAACCTTAAGGAAGCAAAATTACTTTGCAAACAACAGCAGCAGGCTTTATACTCAAGTGCAATGTGAGTATGACAGCCAGCAGCAATGTTTTCCAGGTGAGGCTCACTTGGATTGCGCAATCCCTCACTGCGCTGGCTGCCATGCAGTGACAGCCGACGCATGGCAGACAGCGCAGGGAGGGATTGCGCGATTCGAGGTGAGGCTCAGTTCGCCGCTGCCTCACCAGCTTCTCTTCCAAGCAGTTGAATGGGAAATAGCAAAAATTCAGCTATTTTGAATTTAAAAATCATCAAAAGTGACGAGGCTAAATGAAAAAATAAATATTTTATAGTACAAATCACTGGATAAATATAACCATTTAAATTATTTTATCAGTATATATTTTTTTCTTTTCGTGATGTCAGGTGAGGGTCTGCATCCCCTGACCGCACATCACTGCACGTGAAGTAGCAACCGGAGCGCAGCAAGTTCTGCAGAATACTTGGATCTGCGTAGCGTCCTCTGTCTTAAAGGCAAAATATTTCCACACAGATGATGTGCTGCCACGCTTTGACACCAAAGTATCGTCTGTGTCGGCTTCTGTTGAGGCTGTGGCCGTTGTGCAACAGGTTAAAGCGTCTTCACTCCCTCTTCGTACCGCTCTGCTCCGCCTCACTCGGCGTAAACAAAAGCAGGTCACGCCGCCTGGTCACGTGACCAGTGAAATCGCGGCCCTTGCGGTTACAAAATCTCGTTCTATCATATCGCGATATAATGCAATTAATCGTTCAGCCCTACGAGACACCGTAATGAAGGGCTGCAGAACAGGCAGTCTGATGTAAATAAGTGTCTGTTTGTGCTCTGAATCATGCAGAGCTACTCTACTAGAGGCACAGAACATAAATATGCCGCTGGAAATAAACAGAATACGTCCCCTTTAATCACCTCACTTTACGTTTGTTTATCATCGTTCTTTCGTTCTGCGTTTTCCACCTCGGTCACCACATTTCATTCTGCCTCCTTCATCTGATGTGTCACCATAACATCTTGTTCATGTATATTTACTGACGCTAACAGTTCCTCCTGTGAGTAAATCTACTTTTTGTGACCATCAGAGGCTGGTGGAGAAGCAGACGAGCTTCGATAAACAGCTCGACTCCCTGACCGACCTGCTGTCCGAGATGGAGACCAGAGGACCCTTCAATCCGAAGGTACGAATCGATAACGGACTCTTAAGTTTCTGCAGAGAACGGATGAGAAGGAAAATGACAGCAGGCTTGCTTTGACTCAGAGGAAATAGAAAAACCAGAATGAGTCACAGAGTAAAGAGGGAAAAAAAAAAAAGCTCCGCGGGTCAGTGGAAAGAGTTTGGAGAGTTAGTTTCACTCGTCTGTGCAGGTCGAAAGCTCAATCAGGAGTGAAGTGAACACACAGCAGACTGAAACAGAAAGTTGGATATGCGGCGATTCGCTGATGCCAGAGCAGCAGTTAGAGGCCATAAATGGAGAGATCCTGGATCAGAGCAGCGTCCTGTTGGCTCAGAGCTGGAACAGAAACGTCAGGAAGATGAAGCACTTCTGATAAGCTCAAACTGCGGAGCTCTCAGTGTTTGCTTTAATCACAGCTACTCATTTAATATAATAAAAGTGTCTGCGGCTCCAGCGTTGACTCTCTGTTGGAGGTTTCATGTTCCTTGCAGTGAATTAGCCTGTTTTCGTGTGCATCGGGATCATGGAAACAAAAAACTGACACTGATATTTTGTTTTCCTGCAATATGAAAAAAAAAAAAATAGCAGGAATTTTTTTCAGCAGATGACTCGAATAACTCTGTTTGGAAAGAATGAATCATTCCAGAGCGATTGGAGGGATTTTTATAGGAGAGTGCATCTGCAGAGAAAATAAAACATCACATTAAAAAAAAGAGGCAGATAATAGTCGTTTGGAACCTTTTTTTTTAATGTAAACATTCTGAGCAGTTTTCTATCTTATCATCCAGAACTCTGTGCTGCTGATTTAAATGATCCAACTAACAGCTGCTGCAGACAGAGAACCTGTTTTATCAATATTTCATACAGCTGATTGATTTCTGCAGCCAAATCTTCCTCTTCAAAGTTTCTCTCCTGAGGGCCGTACTATGAAGAAAGTTGGACATATCCAGGCTTTCTTTGTGTAAGTCAGCTCAACAAAAACTAAACCCCAGCCAGAGATATCAGGTATCAGAAGGTGTTTATCAACTTTCTTCGTCAACTCAGACTTTCTGCTTCAGACTCTGTTCACATAAAAGCAGGCGTTGAACGCATCACGTGACTCTTCTTCTGCTCAAAATGAACCGATCGTGTGCAGCTGCTTCAGTCAACATGTTTTAATGGAGAACGATGAGGAATATAAACATTTATGACAGTAAAAAGCGCCGCTACTGCAAATGATGAAGACAGGAATGCTGGTGGAAAACTGTTAAACATGTTAATATATAATATTTTACTGATGCAGCTGATTATTTCCAACAGACAGCTTAAAGCTAAACTTTAAACTTCATATATTTAAACCTGATCTTTAATTGAAAGTCATTTAGTTCTGACACTGTCCCATAATGCAGGAAATCACTTTAATCAAAGTGAATTAATGTTATTGATTTAATGTTCTCTGTAATAAATACCAGCAGAATAATCCATGTTCTAATCTGTGTTCTATCAGCTGCAGTAGCAGCAGAGTAAACGGACCAAACATAAAAACATATTGATGTGATTCCTGCATCATCAAGTAAATACACGTCTGGTTCCCATGGCAACGTGATATTTACAGTGTGTGATATTGTAACTACACGGCTTCATTCAGTGATATTAGTAACGCACAGCTCAGTATGTTAGCAGATAAAACACATTCCCTCAGCTGAGAATCTGGATCGCTCAGAAATAATCATCATGAAACCATCTGGTTAAAGGGAGACGCTCTTTCAGCCGATTTCAGTCCTAAACTCTGAACACAACCTGCTCCCGACCAGGTTAGCTCCACAGCATCAGTTACCATGGAGATCTAGCTCCACAGCATCAGTTACCATGCAGATCTGGCACCACAGCATCAGTTACCATGGAGATCTAGCTCCACAGCATCAGTTACCCTGGAGATCTAGCTCAGCAGCATCAGTTAACATGGAGATCTGGTTCCACAGCAACAGTTACCATGGAGAGCTAGCGCCGCAGCATCAGTTACCATGGAGATCTAGCTCCGCAGCATCAGTTACCATGGAGATCTTGCTCCGCAGCATCAGTTACCATGGAGATCTAGCACAGCAGCATCAGTTACCATGGAGATCTGGCTCCACAGCATCAGTTACCATGGAGATCTATCTCAGCAGCATCAGTTACCATGGAGATCTAGCCAGGTAAAAAGAGAGCTACCTTCGTGAAACTGAAAACTCTGACTTTACTCTCAACATAGCTGATAACCCACTATTCTGGCTTCGTGGTTCAGAACTCTGCTCATGTTGCTGCACATGTGGACAAACAAACTTTGCTAAATAAACTCCAAGAACCTTGAGAACTGAGAGTAAATGAAGTTCTATCAGATTCTCTTGTGGATCAGAGCGTTGCAGCCTGATGTGTTTCTGACGTTACAGATTGTCATCGTTTCGTGGTTTTGTCCACAGATACCGGGCCAGTATTCGTCAGCACCAGCACCCAAACCCGCGGCTCCTCCTCCGACTGCTCCCAAACCGGCGCTGTCCTTCCTGCCTCCCCCGGAGATGGGCGACCGGCCTCCTCCTGCCCCGTGGGCCGAGGAGCTCAAAGCCAGAACCAACCGACAGAACAACCACGGCTCCGGACCCGGCCCCGCCGCCAAGGCTCCAGGTGTGGCGCCAAAGTCTGGGTTCGGAGGGAGACCCACGACGTCGTCCGCGTCTCTAGCCCAGAAGCTGAACCAGAACCTGAACCAGAACCTGAACCAGGTGCCCAGCCCGGTGAGCAGCGCTCCCAAACCTTCCCCTCCAGCAGCAAGCAGCTCCTTCCCTCCACCTCCTGCAGCTCCTCCTGCTCCTCCTGCTGCTCCCAGTAACGTGGCTCCAGCACTGGCTCCGAACCACATAAAGAGTCCGGGCTTTACCGGCCCAGTGAATGCAAACCAGAACCCGCCTGCTGCTGCTGCTCCTCCTCCACCCAAGACGATGCCCTCTCCTCCCTCCTCCTTCAGCCAGCCGATGAAAACCACCCCTGCATCCACGGTACGTTAAGAGAAAAGTACAAATGGTTTATTGTCGGTAGATGGAAATTCTGGACACGTCAGGTTTTAATGAGGAACGTTGCATGAAACAACGAGCATCTTTCCACTGCAGGAACTCTGCTCAGGTGTGAGGTGATGTTTCCAGGATCTAATCTTACCTTTCATGCTTCCTGTAGAACCAACAGTTTGACGAACACAAGCAGTAATTATTGGATGTAGCTCCAGTTGTGTGTAGGAAACAGAACAATGGAGGTTTGTTCTGTTAGAATATCTGTTGTTGATGATGAAGAAATGACACAAAACTACACAACAAGTCTCCTCCAACCAGGTTCATGTCTACAAAGAAAAGGAGAAATATGCCCATTTAAGAAACATTTGTCTAATCTGCTCAATCAGTTATAAAGGTTCAACAAAAATCACTTTTTTTTGTCATTTTGTGTCCAAGTATTTCATAGTTTTTATCTTTAATAGTTGCTGAGATGTTGTAGCTCAAATCTCTTTCTAGATGTTTATAATGTATACGGTCCAGATGGTAAACCAGAGATGGTTCAGCAGAAAAACTATTGATCTGAGAGGAAATGAGCCGCCTTCTGTATTGTTTGTATTCTTCATTATTTTTATATTCTAAATTATACGTGTTGTGATATTTCTAGTAAACTAAAAACAACACAGAGTCCGTTGTTGACCGGATGTAGGTAATGATTAGATGTACACTGATGGTTTCTTCTACTTCTTCTCCTCCTTTTTGTTCTTCTTCTTGTCCATCTTCTTTTTATCCACCTCCTTCTCCTCCTTCTTCTTCTCTTCCATCATCATCTTCTTCTTCTTCTTCTTGTCCCTCTTTTTCTTCTTCTCCTTCGTGTCCTTCTCGTCCTCCTCCTTCTACTTTTCCTCCTCTTCTTCCTTCTCTTCCTTCTTCTCCTTCATCATCTTCTTCTTCTCCTCCTCCTCCTCCTTCTACTTTTCCTCCTCTTCCTTTTTCTACTTCTTCATGCGCTTCTTCTTTTTCTTCTCCTCCTTGTCCTCCTTCTCTTCCTTCTTCTCCTCCTTCGTCATCTTCTTTTCCTCCTCCTCCTCCTTCTTCTTCATCTACTTTTCTTCCTCTTCCTCCTTCTACTTCTTCCTCCTCTTTTTCTTCTTCTTCTCCTCCTCCTCCTCTTCTTTCTCATTCTCCTCCTCTTCCTCTTCCTTTTCTTGTCTTTCTTTGTCTTCTCCTCCTTCTCCTCTTCCTCCTCCTCTGAGCAGCCTTCCCCTCCAGGTCCGATCCTGATCCCAGGTGGAGGCGTTCCTCTAAACATGAAGGAGGTGGAGGAGCTGGAGAGGATGACCAAGGACTTCATTAAAGACATGGACACACATGCACCTGTCATCACCTCCCCCCCGACAGGTAACAGCACACCTGTCCATCGTCACACCTGTCCATCGCCACACCTGTCCATCGCCACACCTGTCCATCACCACACCTGTCCAT